GAATGAATAAAGAATGCATGAATTTGAAGCAACAATGAGTTTATTGCCTCTGCAAGCGGTGATTGAAGGGAGGAGGGGTGGGTGGTTAGCTTACAGGGAAGTAGAGTGAACCAAGGGGCAGGCGGTTTCATCAAGGAGAAACAAACAGAACTTTCACACCGTAGCCTGGCCAGTCATGAAACTGGTTTTCAAAGCTTCTCTGATGCGTACCGCGCCCTCCTGTGCTCTTCTAACAGCCCTGGTGTCTGGCTGCGCGTAACCAGCAGCCAGGCGATTTGCCTCAACCTCCCACCCCGCCATAAACGTCTCCCCCTTCCTCTCACAGATATTGTGGAGCACACAGCAAGCAGTAATAACAGTGGGAATATTGGTTTCGCTGAGGTCTAAGCGAGTCAGTAAACTGCGCCAGCGCGCCTTTAAACGTCCAAATGCACATTCTACCACCATTCTGCACTTGTCAGCCTGTATTTGAACAGCTCCTGACTACTGTCCTGGCTGCCTGTGTACGGCTTCATGAGCCATGGCATTAAGGGGTAGGCTGGGTCCCCAAGGATACATATAGGCATTTCAACATCCCCAACAGTTATTTTCTGGTCTGGGAATAAAGTCCCTTCCTGCAGCTTTTGAAACAGACCAGAGTTCCTGATGATGCAAGTGTCACATACCTTTCCCGGCCATCCCACGTTGATGTTGGTGAAACGTCCCTTGTGATCCACCAGAGCTTGCAGCACTATCGAAAAGTACCCCTTGCAGTTTATGTACTCGGCGGCTTGGTGCTCCGGTGCCAAGATAGGGATATGGGTTCCGTCTATGGCCCCACCACAGTTAGGGAATCCCATCGCAGCAAAGCCATCCACTATGACCTGCACATTTCCCAGGATCACTACCCTTGATATCAGCAGATCTTTGATTGTGTGGGCTACTTGCATCACAGCAGCCCCAACAGTAGATTTGCCCACTCCAAATTGATTCCCAACTGACCGGTAGCTGTCTGGCATTGCAAGCTTCCACAGGGCTATCGCCACTCGCTTCTCAACTGTGAGGGCTGCTCTCATCTTGGTATTCATGCGCCTCAGGGCAGGGGAAAGCAAGTCACAAAGTTCCATGAAAGTGCCCTTATGTATGCCAAAGTTTCGCAGCCACTGGGAATTGTCCCAGACCTGCAACACTATGCGGTCCCACCAGTCTGTGCTTGTTTCCTGAGCCCAGAATCAGCGTTCCACAGCATGAACCTGCCCCATTAGCACCATGATGCATGCATTGGCAGGGCCCATGCTTTCAGAGAAATCTGTGTCCATGTCCTGATCACTCACGTGATCGCGCTGACGTCACCTCCTCGCCCGGTATCGCTTTGCCAGGTTCTGGTGCTGCATATACTGCTGAATAATGCGTGTGGTGGTTAATGTGCTCCTAATTGCCAAAGTGAGCTGAGCGGCCTCCATGCTTGCCCTGGTGTGGTGTCCGCACAGAAAAAAGGCGCGGAATGATTGTCTGCCATTGCTCTGACGGAGGGAGGGGCGACTAATGACACGACTTACAGGGTTGGCTTCAGGGAGCTAAAATCAACAAAGGGGGTGGCTTTACATCAAGGAGTATTTCAGGCAGGACTTCATGGAGGGTTCCAATAAGAAATGGTGCACCTAAGTTATTGTTCTTATTGGAACAAGGAGGTTAGCCTGGCCTCTGATTGATACATGGCTAGATTTACCTCGCTGCACCTTCTCTGTGAGTGACTGCAGTGCGACCTAGAGGAATGAGTCCCCTAGACAGGGGAGGAGGCAAATGAGTACAAAACAAATCTGGTCTATTTCTTGTTTTGATCCACTCCATCTGTCTTTTACATCTTTGGCTGGCAGCAGACGGTGCAGAAGGACTGCATGCCATCCACATCTCATGGCTGCTCGGCAGAAGATGGTACAGTATGACTGCTAGCCATCCTCATCTCTTGCCTGCCTGGCAGAAGATGGTACAGTATGACTGCTAGCAATCCGTATCACCTGCTTGCTCACCATAAGACGGTTCAATAGGACTGACTGCAGGACTAAAGAGAATGACCTGGTCAAGGCACTCCAAATTTAGTCCCTGCGCCCATGTCTGCCCAGGCGCTCCCAGCCGACGTGGCCAGGAGCACCTCGGACACGACGAGGACGGCTACCAGTCGTACTGTACCATCTGCTGCCACAAGGCAAGAGGTTGCTGCTACTGTGTAGCAATGCCATACCGCGTCTGCTAGCACCCAGGAGACATAGGGTGACGGTTACCTGAGCGGGCTCCATGCTTGCCGTGGTATGGCGTCTGCACAGGTAACTCAGGAAAAAAGGCGCGAAACGATTGTCTGCCCTTGCTTTCATGGAGGGAGGGAGGGAACGGGGGCCTGACGATATGTACCCAGAACCACCCGCAACAATGTTTTAGCCCCATCAGGCATTGGAATCTCAACCCAGAATTCCAATGGGCAGCAGAGACTGCAGGAACTGTGGGATAGCTATCCACAGTGCAATGCTCCAGAAGTCGACTCTAGCCTTGGTACTGTGGAAGCACTCCGCCGAGTTAATGCAATTAATGCACTTAGAGCATTTTCTGTGGGGACACACACACTCGAATATATAAAACCGATTTCTAAAAAACCGACTTCTATAAATTCGACCTTATTCTGTAGTGTAGACATACCCTAAAAAACAGAACCTAACTAACTCACACTATTGACTGGGAGACCCTAATCAGGATAATTGAATTTTATAAGTTAGGCTATAATCCTTCAAGGTGCACTGCACAAGTAGAACTCACTGCACTTGCATGGAGCGCCAGTGAAGTCAATATGGGTCTACCCACATGGGAAACTTTACAGGATAGTGACCTAAGTGACAAAGCAGTTTTTTAAAATGCAAGGATACAGAATTAAAGTGCATGCTGTTCATTTATATGTCAAGTGCCATTTTGATTATGTACGACTATACTCGATGATATACTACTGAGGGTATGTCTATACTGAAATTAAACACTCGCAGCTAGCCTGTGTCAGCTGACTTGAGCTTGCACGGCTTGGGCTGCGGAGCTATAAAACTGCAGTGTAGACATCTGGGCTTGGGATGGAGCCTGGGCTCTGAGATCCCACAAGGAGGGAGGGTCCCAGAGCTCAGGCTCCAGACCAAACCCAAACTTCTACACTGCAATTTTTCAGCCCTGTAGCCTGAGTCAGCTAATATGGGTAAGCCATGGGTGTTTAATTACAGTGTAGACCTTTTACAAAATATGCTACAGAATATTTAGAGATGTAATGAAGATGTAGTGATATGTGACATCACTACAGCTCTCTCTGTGCTATTAAATTTTAGCTGAGATGGGAAGACAACACCATTTCTTGTAAAAATTATAAGTCTGCAGAATAACAATATTCTACTGTATTGGTAAAGAACAGCTAAGACTTGAAAAATGTGAACACATCAGTCTTTCTGGATGATATACATGCTTGAACATCAGTCAGGAAAACATCCCAATTCAGGATTGCATTTAAGTGCCTGCTTAACTTTATATCCCATTGAAGTCAATTACCTTAATGAATGAGGGGGAAAGAGTTAGAGGTACTATATTGAATTTTAGTGAACCATTTTGATAAAGTTTCTTGTGAAATCTTACTCTTTAACTGTATTCAAATCAGTTCAGCTAGGAACTGTGCTATTGGTCCTGAACACTGGCTAATGAACCATAAAGCAAGTGTAATAACAAAGATGTAATATTTACTGTTATCTTAATATCTTCATTAATGAGACACAACAGAAAAAAATATGTAATTTACAAACAAGACCAAGTTGAGAGGTCTATGATTTATACTCCTCACGCTACTGCTACCCCTGGACACAGAGTAATTTAAAAAAACAGCCAGAACATAACAAAATGAAATTTCATTTGAGAAAATAAGAAGTAATATATAAAATAATCAAAAATACTAGTAAACCATGGAAGAAAGGAAACCAAACCCAATAATATGGAATGAAGACAAGGTCTGATAGTAGACAGCAAATCAGCTGTATTTGCAACATGATTTGACAGCAAATACAAAATGCATGTGCAAGTGAACAGGGCAATTCGATAGGCACTCTATGCTGTAATCATGGACCACTCTTGGAATACTAAGGCCTGCAATAATGAGTGTGCTGAAGGGCAACATTTAGTCTGAGCGTAATGGAAATCTTCCTGGCACTGAGATGTATCAGGCTCCCAGGGAGAGCAGGTGAGGCCTCTTCCCTTACAACCAGGCTGGGCAAAACACTACAGAATGTGAAACATGCCTATATGGGCCCCGAAGGATATGAATTGAGTGAGCATGGAGCTGCCCGCAAATCCCCTCCCTACCCTAACTGCCCCCATACCCCTCCCTGTCCCCTCTAACTAGCCCCATAACCCCTCTCTACCCCTCTAACTGCCCTATACCCCTCTGCCCCCCATATCCCCTCCCTCTAACTGCCCCTATAAGCCTCCCTAGCCCCTCTAACTGCCCCCTCCTAGCCCCTCTAACTGCCCCCATAGGCCTCCCTGATCCCTCTAACTGCGCCCTCCTTACCCCTTTAACTGCCCCCATGCTCTAACTTCCCCATGCCCCTCCAACTACCCTATACCCCTCTCTGCCCCCCATATCCCCTCCCCCTCCCCTCCAACTGCCCCCATAGGCCTCCCTGGCCCCTCTAACTGTCCCCACACTCTAACTTCCCCCATGCCCCTCCAAATGCCCTGTACCCCTCTCTGCCCCCCACATCCCCTCCAACTGCCCCCATAGGCCTCCCTGGCCCCTCTAACTGCCCCCTCCTTACCCCTCTAACTGCCCCCATATCCCCTCCCTGTCCCTCTAACTTCCCCCCCTCCTTACCCCTTCCTGGCCCCTCCAACTGCTCCCATACCGTGTCCGTGTCCCTGTCCCCGCTAACTAGCTCAGAACCCCCCGCTCCGACTCCTCGAGTCCCCGGCTCGCGGGGAGTCCCTGGGGGCGCGGGCGGGTCTCTCACCAGCCAGCACGAACTTCGCCATGAGGCGGCCGGCGGCGGGCCACGAGCCCCTTGGGCAGCGGCTCCTGGCTGTCGCTTAGCAACGCGGCGACGCTGCCTCCAGTCAACCTCCCCGCGCGAGGGAGAGCGCGAGACGTTGTCCCCTGGGGTCGCCGCGTACTCTCGCGCGATTTAGAGAGGGCACGTGAGGAAGCCATCATGGCGGCTCCCGTAGGCCGGTCACATGAGGCGTAGCCGGGTCGGTCCAGTGTCCGGTGAGTGGCTGGCGGGGTCGCCCCCTGGCTGCTGCCCTGGAATCATGAAGGGCCCCGGGACTGACCGGCTGCCTCCGGCCGCGGCGGGGGCCAGGGGGCTTGTGAGTCCCCACGGTGCGGGTCCCCGTCCCCGGTCGTAGCCAGGGTGGGAGGGGGTCCCCGTGGGCGGTGTCCGTGGGCTCAGGCCAGGAAGCCACGGGGAGTTCACAGGTGTCTCTGCTGGTATGTGACGATCAGGGCCCGTGTATCGTGCAGCTGAGGCGCAGGATCCACCCCGGCCGTGCCATGGTGCTCCGGGCCCTGAGGTTTCTTTTAAGGAAGGTCGTAAGCCCTGTGACCGCGAAGGCCTCCGTTTAGCATTGTGAATGGCACGTGGCTGAAGCAAGGGTGTCTGCCTGAGTCTGCAGGCAGCCTGAAACTGCACCTCTGATGTGTGTGTGATCCGCTCTCTGGTCAGCGGTTGAAACCTAAAGATGACTGTTTAAAAGACACCGTTGTTATCTCTTTTGCTGCCGAGTGTGTTAACAGAAACATGTAGTTAATGGGGCTGATGGTTGCTGGGATATGAAAGTCGGTGTTGGAGTCTCCCCTTAATCTTAAACAACCCCCCCCTCACCCTCGTATCTGCAAATGGAAAAGGAAGAAGTGCCACCCCAGAAATGCTCAACTGCTATCTGTATGCCAAAACCTCCGGATTTTCGCCATACAACTTCTAATATGCAACTGTAGTTTCTGCACAGTTTTTAGCATGTTGATCATTAAAAATTTGTCAATAGTGTAAAATCAAAACTTAGAAAAGAAAAACAATGCTAATTGCTCTTAATCTTCATATTTAATGATAGCAAATCTTTAATTTATATCTTGCTTGAAGTTGCTGCAGAATTGTTAGTCTTCCACCACAAAGGGCTACAATATGGACTCCTTTTCTGCCCTAAAATACACAGAATTCTGCTTACAATTATACCTTCAATTATATCTCATTAAAACATGATTGACTTAAGTGGATTGAAAAATAAAAAATTGTCCATCTCCCTTCAGAAATTCTGCAGGTCTGCAAGTAAAATCCCTGAAGATTTCTACTGCCGGTACCAAAATTGTCTTCCATTTGTAGCATGCTGTTCATGAGAGGAACAGAATCCTGTCTGGTTTCAGTACATCAGATTGTTCCATGAATTGTGAGCTTTAATTTCTCTTCTTAACATTTGTAGTTATTATGAAAATTATGACATCAGGCCCTGATCATACATTTCTTGAACACCTATGACTCCCCGTTAGTTAACTGGATCCATGACTTCTGTCTGCATCACAAAAATGGATGCAACCTTTGATAGAAGCCCTTGGGTTGTGCAAAGAAAGGTGCAGGAAGCCCTTAATAGCTAAATTTATGGCATTGTCTTTTACTTGGTCTTATTTAGTCTCATAATATAGGTCTTCTATCTGTCTCAGGCATTTCTAGAGGCTCCTATCTCTATGTTGCCTGACTGCTGAATTTGTTGCAAGTGTCAGAATTTTATCACTTGTGGTAAATCAGGAGTGCTGCATGGCTCCGGGAGGCTTGGGGAAAAGGAAATCAGGAAAGTGAAGGTACACGGTACAGACTCTAGACTCAGTCCTGTAAGTGCACCCATGAGGACAGACCTCTGTGCCAGTGTGTGTGGAGACGCATCTACACAGGTAAATTGATTTCAGTGGAAGTTCAGGGCTTAAGTCTACCCAATTTCTCTTCAAATCCTATCCCTTTTCAGTTATACTGTGGAATTGCAACAGTTTTGTGACTGAGACCCTGTGGAATTGCGGAGTCAGGAGCAGAAGACACTCATTAATTAATGACGGATTACAAATGAAAATGAACTATTTCCAGATCTGTTTCAGGTTCTCTGTAAAAGATGTGTTAGTAGATGTGGTATTTTAACCTTTAAACCGAAAGCTCGTTAATGATTTTATAATTTTCAATTGATTTCACAGATAATGCATTTTACCTGGTGTCCAAAGACCTGTTTCTATGGGCTTGAACCTCATTAAGGCCCTGTCTTCTGAGCTGGCATTTGAAAGCTGTTTATAAAACGGTAGCAAAAATGAACAATAAAGTGGGTTGTTTGATAAGGACAATCAGACATTTGCATGTATGTGGTTCTAAACTGGGTCCCAGCTTTAGAACGGCGATGAGGACATACACATTAGGGATCAGTAGATATAAGAGTGCCATACAAAGTGTGAACCTGAGAAGATTCCTGTTAAATGTTCCTCCTCACCGGCTTGAATCATCTCTCCGATTGCTGTCTCACGGGGTGCCTGTTTATAGTAAAGGAGATGTCACTGTAAAAGAACAGAATGTTGCAAAGTCTCTATTAGATGAACATATGCAAAGTTCATCTAGTGCCTTGGACCCTCTAGAAGAAGATAGAAGTGTTGTTGAAGAGAATCTGATAGCGAAGAGCGAAAGGAGTCAATCACAGCAGTTCTTTGATGACCTTCAAAAATGCACATCTCCCTGTGATGTATTAGACCTAGTTTCAAAGTCTGCTATTTCTGAGAAGCATTGTAGTAACTGTTTTACTACTATGTGGGCGCTCACCAAAAAGCTGTCCGAAGACCAGAAGCGTTATGAGAAACAACTGATGGTTGAGCATCCTGCATTCATGCAGCTATGTCAGCGTCTGATGCAAGAGTCTAGGAGCATGTGGTGTGATGACTTGGTATACAGTCTGCATGCTGTGGTGAAGCTAGGGATATCCCAGAACACTCGACTGGTTCAGACTTTGCTGAGGGTCTCTCAGGTAAGTATTGGAATCTTTTAAAGATGGGAATAAAATTCCAGTGCCAGTTCTTACAGGTTATAGAGGCTACAGCCTCAGAGGGTCTCCACATGAACGCCTGTGGTTTGAGTTCTGCCCAGGCTTTCTTTTCATTCCTCTGCACACAGCACACCATACAAAGAGAGAGGGCTCAAAGAATACTTGTGCTTCAGGCTGTGCCAAAACTTTAGATCAGCTTGAGGCGTAGAAAAACTCTCTTCTCCCTCCACCCTCACTTCCCCCTCTCCTTTCTCCTCACATGATATGAGGCAAATTTGAGAGTGAGCAGTTGTGAGGAAAGGTATTTTTGATATTTTGATTGGAGGGCAGAGGCCAGTGTCCTCCTTGACTCCCAGTTGTTTTACCTGCTGGCTCTGGGAGCTTTCTTTGGTCTACCCACTATTAGCTGTATTATGCTCCCCTTGTCTTGGGAATTTTTGCAGGACCTTCCCCACCTGCTGATGGAACCAGGGACTTCCTCTGAGCATCATATGACTATTTCATGTTGTGCTAGTTGAGGGTTTCTCCATTTCTGGACCTGCTGTTGCCCTGGGAGTTTCTTTCTTGACTTTCTTCAGAGCCCCCCACCAACTACTCCCCTCACCCACTGTGTGCAACTTCTTCTCCCTGTTTCTTCCCTTTCCATTCCCTTAAACCAGTCTGTCCTCATCCCTACCGCCACCACCTCCTAACTCTGCACCTAGCCAACCCATCCTACTTTGTAGAGTTGTATGTGTTTTAATAAAGCAGCATGCAACTTTCAGAGGGAGAGAGGGCACTGATTTATTACATGGAGGGGAAGTTTCCCCACCAGGTGTGCCCACAGTTGGACCCCAGATGTGCTTGAACCTGCACATCAAAACTCTGGTAAATGTTTACAAAACACTTTAGAGAGGAAATCTTGAACATGACCAGTACGACATTCTCCAGCTTGTATCATACTATGTATAGTACATTACACAGTTTCTTCCTTTTGTCCTTAATATGATTTTTATTTTTGGCCTGATTTCTCATTTTCTCAGGGTAAATTGGGAGTTATCTCCACAGAAGTCAGTAGAATTATACCAGTATGTAGGTCAAAGTAGAATCAGCTCTAGTGACTTTTTCTTTGTTCTCGGGGAAGGTGGTGGGGGTAAGAGAGCTAGCAAAAATTGACCTTTCTGCCACTTAGTCTTAAGAACTTTCTAACATTGTGAAAATATATCTTTAATAGGAGCGCCTCAATGAATGTGATGACCGATGTCTCTCTGTTGTGTCAACCACCTTGGCAACCATGGAAAAAAGCAGAAATGTGGATGCTCTTCAAGCTGGATTACAGTGAGAACAATTACATTCTTTTTAATGGTTTCCTTACTTACAAGTCTTGTCATGTGACCATTTATTTCTGTTGGAGGAAAATAAATATGGCATGAAAGGAGAGTGACCATCTTTACTCTTTTGCCCAAAATACACTTTGATATTTTCTGGCTTACATTTTTAGCATTTTCTTGAGGATTATTTAATGATACATTGCATTAGAACATTTTAGTAATCACTGCAATGTGCTCATATCTAAAATATGGTAGAAATGTCCAAAGCAAGAAGACACTTGAACTTTTAAGTAACTTTACACGGTCTTAGACAATCAGGGACACTCGGTAGTGACCATGGCTGGAATCCTACGTTGACCTCTGTGTGACAGCTCTGTGCAGGGTCCACCTGGAGAAGCTCATTGCGGGATTGGGACCCAAGTAATTACCATCAGATAGTAGTTGAAACAAATAGCTCTCTTTGGCGCCATTGTTGGCATTCTCAGCAGAAAGGGTGAAGATAGGATAAAACACTGGTCCGGGGCACAGGAGACCTGATTTCTGCCACAGGCCTGCTCGGTGACCTTGGGCAAGTCACTCCACCTCTCTATACCTTAGTTTCCCCATTTGTAAAGTGAGGATAAAACTGCCCTCCTTTGTATAGTGCTTTGATATCTATTAGTGAAAAGCCCTATGTTTCAGCTGGGTGTTATTCTTGATTTCAGTAGGAAATGCTGTTGAGTTGGAATACCATTTTAGCTTGTATTCCACCTGTATTCAAATGTAGGGGTGGGAGAAGCATTACATCTAATCTTGTTTCAGAATAACTTGTTTATGGGTGGCGTTTTTATACGGAGATTGTCGGTCTACAAAGCCTCATCTGCTTACCCCTTCAGGGACCTGGTGTTTCTGAGCTTCTAACAGAACATATTAGTGGATTTATATTGTATGTATCAATTCTATTTCAGCTCAAGCTACAAGAGGATGGGCATGTTGGTTAAATAACAGCATATTCTGTTAGAAGTTCAGGTGCACAGTTCCGGGAGTTTGGGGGAAAGTGGGTTATCCCTCTCCATTTTCCATTTAGAAGACTTTGACTCCATCTTGATTAATCAAACTTCCCTGTTTTCAGGGAAATGTCAATCTCAGTGGATCAATTTCAGAGACTTCCACTGCCATACAGGCACTGAAATTTCCAAAACTATGCTCTGATATTTGATTTAAAAAAATATACTGTTTTAAAGAGAGTTGGGATTTTTTTTGGTTTCTTTAGCCTTTTTGTTTCCTACTGAGCCAAAATGGCAACCACAGATACACCACATCAGAGTCCTTCTCTGTGTGATGCTTTGCCTTCTGCTATATTCAGATCCTGTTCTTCTCCTACAGACTATAGTATCACTTGTTCTCCTTTCCATCTGCTCCATTTTCTGTGTCCTGTACAAGGCTCTCCCGAATTTCACGGGTCACGGGGGGCTTGTCTCCACAGAGAAATTGCACTGGGATAAGTTACATCAGTTTAGTTAAACTGATACCTCTATTTCCCTGCAGTATGTTCACTCTGTTGCTCTTGCATTGGTGTATGTTGCAGCACTGTGTCCACACAGCAGCATTCTGCATCAGTGTAAGCATGGTGCAGTGTGGGTGGGCGAGCGGGCATTCCAGGGTCCTCTGCACTGCTTGGGCAGTGGAGTTTAGAAAGGTTGCCGGACAGATCACGGCACATAGGGAGGAGAAGTCCTACTGATATCTCACGCCAGTGTAGTTACTTCAGTGTCAGGAGATGGCCGCATTGCTATTAAGTCAATTTAACTACGTCAATGTAGAGCTGCACCAGTTTAATTTAAAAAAAAAAGGCCGGGGGTGGGGGGTGGAAGAGGCGTGAGGAGCTACACCAGTTTATCTCAGGATTCGTCCATGGGAGACAGATGTGTGCCTGCTTCCACCAAAATAAGCAGAGCTTTACTGGTTCAACTTGTGTGTGTAGGCCCAAGCCTCCTTAAACCAATTCCATTTCTTTCCTTATCAGGTTACTGGTGGAGCAGCGAATTCCAAAGATCAGTAACATTTTTATGTTGCAAAGCATGATGAAATGCATTGGAAAAGATGCCCCACTCTCTCTCAAAAGGAAATTTGAGGTAAAAGATTAAAATAATTGGTGGGGCCTTGTATTATTCCTGCATAGCTACTGCTCCTGTGTTGCTATTTATTCGTTGTTTATGGTAGCACCTGTTGTACGCTAGGCAGTTTCCAGACATTGAAAATGAATGGTAACTTCCCTAAGTTGCTCATCCTCCAGGGACATTTAAGCAAGTAAACAGTGGTTTGTGGAAGGGAAAACATTTTTTTAATGACTGTACATGTCAATTAAGTTTGCTGTAGTCTGCCCAACAGAGGTATTTCTGCAGGAGGGACTTAAATAGGTAGAGGGTGCAAAGGTCAAACCACGCATAGGGATAGAAAGCATGGAGGTGTTTATGTAAGAAATTGATAGCGTAAAAGATAAGATGCTATCTGTGAGCTTCATTGTAACAGGGCTTTCTGTGTAATGAATCATGCTATTGAGAGGCAAGTAACTACATCTGCCCTAGTCCCAATAGAAAGGGATTCTTAAAATGTTTTCTCAATCCAGTGGAAGGAGCTGGGGTTGATATAGTATTTTTAAACATTGTTTTGACTTTTTTTTTTCTATTGATAAAATTTTTTCATTGCCCTTTATGTATGTCTTTGAGAATGTACTGGGTGAAACTATATTTTAAGAGCTGGGGAAACTGAAATTAGTGGGCCTGATTTTTGCTGTTGGTTGCGTCAGTGTAACTCTAACCATGCGAATGTAGTCACTCCTGATTTACTGTGGCTTAAGTGACATCAGAAGTGGGCCCACTAACTTTAGCTTCACCAGTTTTTTAAATCTTGTTTAAATTAGTGTACATCTGCCAAAGGTGTATCACAAAGGTCAATAGAAAATAGTGAGTAATTTACTAAGGATTTAGAATAACTTAGTCTTTGCCATGTGCAAAAGCTCTATCATCCTGACTGTACAATATTGGTAAATATGCCATCCATGTTAAGTAGCAATCCACCGTTCTTTCAAGCATGGGTAGGAAAACTATATACATAGTAACCAGAAATAAGTATTATAAGGCCATCTTGTATTGATTTTATTCAAGAAAGAAACAGGAGCGCCTGAGAACTTTTTAAGGACAGCTCACACTAAACATTAGATTAGCTGTAGTTGTTTTTATAAGAAAAGTGATTGGAAGGAGTTATTTTAAGGTCCTTCCACTGCTTCCAACCTTTCCTTCAGTGCAAATCTGGTGACGTTACTGGATTGGCGTAGTTTTGATCTTCCCGACTCACTTCATCCTTCGACAGAGATAATTTGGACTGCCAATGCCAAGAATGAAGAGTCTAATCAAATTGAATTCATTTTTAGAGTAGAGTTTTGAAAGAGCTGGACCACTTGACTCCTCTGAACGCTCAACACATGTTTAGTGCTCTGGCTGTGATGAATCACTGCTCCATGCCAATCCTGGATGCCTGCAGTAACAAAATCATTGGTGAGTTAAAGTGAATTTTTAAACTTCCCCTCTCCTTTACTCTGACTCTTCCTAATGAAAATGTCTTATTCCAATTTCCTTTTAAGCCCAGAAAACATGATTGTTTTGTAGTCTAACAATGCAGATCCATTAGACAAAGTACAGTACAAAAAATTTTGGAGGACTGATGGATGATCAAAGAAAGTAGTTCTTATGGTCTCTGCCCTCATTAATACCATGAAATGTCATCTCTGTGGTTATAATGGCATTCTTCATATCTCTGAAGTTAAAATTCTGTTAGCATTTTCCCTATATATAGAATTTGGGGAAAAGAAAACTAAAGGCCAGCAAGAAAAATTAGTGATTTCAGATGTGCTTTTAAAACTGTTTCTGAACTGAAAATTTGCATCTCCTAGTATGAATTGACAACTGTTTAGGGAGTAAGCAAAAGGCAACATGTTCACTGATTAAGTGGATTTCATTATTGAGTTCTACTTAATAAATGATGGCCCAATTGAGCCCAAAGGAACTTAAAATGAAGGTTAATACTCTGACCTTTACTCAGACCCTTGCAATAAGTATTGTAGACATAATTGATCAATAAGTATTGATATATACTCTTGAATCCAAAACTATGGTAAAAGAACATTAATGTTGCAAAGTCAAGCCCTCAAAAGGTAGGAAATGTCAAAATTCAGGTTGCCTGTGCCACCTTAATTTGGTCTCCTTATGCATACACCTTATGATACAATCTTTAATTATATGGCAATAAACTATTTTCTCCCACAGGACCCCTGCTTCATTAATGTACAGGATGGATGGTATTCATAGTATGAAGCTATTGAATACTTTGTTGTATCCTCATTGTTTAGTGTACAGCCATAGGTCTTATTTACTGTAGGTGATTCAAATCCTGCTCTGAAGACAGCATTATTTATTTCCCAATTTGCTTTTCTGTGGCATTTATCACTATAATATCTGAGTGCTTCACAAACATGAATTTATTTTCATAACACCAAAGAGTGAGGTGGTGGTATCTGCATTTTAAATATGCAAAAAGAAAAGGAGTACTTTTGGCACCTTAGAGACTAACCAATCTATTTGAGCATAAGCTTTCGTGAGCTACAGCTCACTTCATCGGATGCATACTGTGAAAAGTACAGAAGATCTTTTTATACACACAAACCATGAAAAAATGGGTTTACCACTACAAAAGGTTTTCTCTCCCCCCACCCCACTCTCCTGCTGGTAATAGCTTATCTAAAGTGATCACTCTCCTTACAATGTGTAAGTAAATATGCAGAACTGAAGCACACAGATATTAAGGTCAGAAGTGTCCACTGATTGAGTGCCTAATCTGAAATGCACTGGATCTGATTTTTTCAGAGCACTCAGCATTATTTGGCACTTTATGTGTTTGAAGCACAGCTCCTCTTGATTTACCTTGCAGCTGTGAGCGCTCAGCAGTTCTGCAGATCAGATTCGAGGGTCTCAGCTTGGGCACCCAGAAAATGAGGAACACATTGGGTTAAGTGATTTGCCCAGCATTGCATAGGATTGAAGGATAGAATTCAGGATGACATTCAAGTAGCCGAGACCATCCTTCCTATTTCTGCAGTCATCTGTCTTGTTCGATATACACCTTCCAACTACTGCAACAAATGAAGCAGGGGGTCCTAGACAATAGCCTCCTTTATTACGCAACCCTGATGATCCACCTGATCATGTCCATCCTGTGCACTGAATGAGGCACAGGTCTTGTGGAAAAAGTAGAATGTGATCATGAAATTACAGACTGTCTCATAATGCATATGCACTAGGGGAACTGAATTAAGGTTACACAGGAAGCCTTCATTCTTGCATTTCCTAACTTTTGAGCGTTCAACTTTGCAATTTTGCTACTTTTCTTTTAATACAAATTGTTTTGTGGTTTGTGTGTGTGCGTGCATCCACATGTATAATTTCCTAGGGTTTTAAAAGAAAACTGAAAAAAACAAATTCCATCCGCTGGTATCATGCTGACACCCACATAAAGGTCATCAGCAGGACTGGAACCTTTAGACAAGTGGTTTTCAACCTGTGGTCTGTGCACCTCTGGGGGTCCACAGATGATGTCTATGATTTCCAAAGGGGTCTGCACCTCCATTCAAAAAAATTTTAGAGGTCCACAAATGAAAAAAGATTGAAAACCACTGCTTTAGATCCAGCTCATATAACTCTGCCCCTACATCTAAGGGAGTAACTTATTGCAATAATAGTTGGTGATTCTCAATATGGACCAGCACTAGAGGAGGATGAAACACGTTTCTGTCTGCAAATAGCTATGAAACCCATAGGCAGAGGAATGGTAAGACTCAGGATGTTTGGGTTCCATTCCAGGCTTTGGAGGGGAGTGTTCTCTGGTGGGCATAGACTTTTCTGCCCATTCCTCTCAAGCTTCGTCCCTTCTGCCCTGTCTCAGCTATGTCTCTTCCCTACCCTCAGCTCCTTGTCCCAGTCTTGTTCTCCTTACCAAACCAGTCTATTTCCACTCCTCAGGGTTCTCATCCTAGTTCCAGTCTCTTGCCCAATTAGTCCCAACATCCCCCTGTATGCTCCTAGTGAGAGACCCAGTCTATATCCCCAAACTTTTCATCTCGGTCTCCTTTGCCCAGCCAGTCACAGTCTCTTCCATGGCTCCCCATCTGATGTTTCACATCACCCCCCCACTGGCTGCTAGTCCCAGTCATATCCCACAACGCGCCGCTCACAGTCACTGTTCTTTTTGTTGTTGTTCTGTTACAGAGAGTATCCATGGTACTCCATTTTGGCAGTTAATCCATGTTCTGAGGTCATGCAGCATCCTCCGGTACCGCAATGTAGTTTTGTATTCAGCAATAGCAAACTACGTGACTTCAGCCATCTACATGTGGGACACTAAACAGGTGAGGTAGTGACCACAAGCTCTATAGTGACACCACTAGAACTGCCAGTACAAAGCTGTGCCCAGGTGCACACAAACACTGTTTATGGAGCTGCTAGTTACGACTCAGTACTTCAGTTTGCATTCTGAAATGGGCTTAAAATGGGGCATAAGTTCCAGTTTGGCTCTACACGTAGAGCAACTACACAATGTTAGAAAATTCAAAGGGCATAAAAAACAATGCAGTTTTTCTCTGGTTTCTTTTCATGAAAGTTTAATAGGAATAACTTGGTAGAAATTGGTCCGTGGCTGAAAAATTTGTCAGTTTCAAACTTCTCTTTCTTGATGTATATCTTTGAAACAACAGGGTGTATTTATGCAGATTGATTGAGGGGAAATCTTCAGTAAAACTGGTACATTGGCTGTCGTTTAATTTGTATAAGCGTAGCACCGACAAGTCCTCATCATGGACCTGAACCCTGTGCTCGGCGCTAGAACCAAAAGGCAGTCCCTGCCCCAAAGAGCTTCAGTCTAAGTGTAAGAGAAGAAACAACAGGGATACAGACATACAGATGGTGGATTAGAGGGAAACAATGAGACAATATTGGCTTAAATATTTTAATAAGTGTTTGGAAGTTTAACAGTCCATTGTTCTCCTATTTATTGCAGTATAGTAATAAAGAATAGTTAGTCATGCTCATAATATATTAATTTTCAAAAGTTTATTTTCATTTTTAAAAACCTCTCTGATGCTATGACACCAGACAATTAAGTAAATTTCCATATTGAGGCCTGTACTCTAGTTTTAATTTGTTGGTTTTTAGCCTTAAAAATGTTTTTCTTCATATACTTTTTTTGGCGCGTTTTAGATTGTCCTGTTTTTGTCTGCCTTTGAGGGACTTCGTTTTCGACCTGTTGAGCTGATGGATATTTTGGCTGAGAAGGTGACAAGTCATCCTGAATCCCTGAATCTGAAGGATATTCTAAGTATTCTCCGGGTGTATTCACTTCTCAACCACGTTCCCAAATGCCAAAATCAGGAGTAGGTTCTGGCTTAGAAAGCTTTGTATTAAATTACATATTTGTTATGTGGGTGTCTGAAGAGGCACCCTAAAGAGTACCTGCTACTGATCTTGGATTCCAGTTGTGAAATACTTCTCACTTTGTCTGTTTTACTAAATCTGTGAGATAAACTTGCTTTACCTGTCACTATTATAAAAAATATATATATTTTTTCTAAACAGTAAAGCAATGTAATAGAGAATGCACAAGATGTAATAAAGAGTGGGTGCCCATCACTTAAGTTATAGCCTGATAAAAGTGGTGAACAGGTTGTAGCTAGTGGTAAGCTTAGGTGCTGGACTTGGGTTCTGGTTATCCAAATAAATTGGAATATCTGTCTGGGGTTTTATTTCAAAAGTATTGATTTATATTTTATAGAGATTTTTAGGAAAGTCTGAGTTTATTTATAAACTGGTACGTAAAGATATCTTTTTTTTTTTTCTTTTGAAGGTTCCTGGAGTCTCTCAACAGTGCCTTGAATAAGTACCTCACCAGGATTTCTAATGTGGATCTGCTGAAGGCAGTGTATTCATTTTGCGTTTTAAAGTATCTGCCCCAGCCTGCACTTAGTCAGCTCCTGCAAGGGGACAACCTCAATGAGTTACTAAAATCAGGTCAGGCATTAATGTATTCATGTGTGTTATGCCATTGAATTCAGACTAGTGTGTAGAGAAGAGTAGTAGTAGCTTCAACACAATCACTCTTTAGGGTGTGGTTGCATTGAAGCTCACAAGCTAAGTGGGGCAGACTGGTTAATATAAAAAATGGAGTTCAGCAAGTTGTTGTTACTTATTAGTGATTCAGGTGACCCTGTCCTCAGACTCAGCACTGAACCAGTGCCCTCATCGTGGCGATGTGTTGTGCTGTTGGAGGTACCATTTTCAGATAAGACACTTCAGTAATGAGGAAAGTGTTTCCTAGGTAACTGTGTATGTGAAAGACAGTAAATCCAAGATTTGTTGTAGAAAGTCAAATGTGAACAAATTGTGGATTCTTATGTCTGTGATGCACATTCAAGATTTTCCAAGAACCTTTTAAAAAAATAACCAAAGTGATGTATGTTTTTCAGCTAAATCAAAGTTTAGCTCAAAATACAACTTGTGGTTAGAAGTTGCTTGACTGTTTTGCTTTAGGATGAAGGACCCTGACTGAAATGGTTCAAGGTAGTTGTTCAGCTTTGTGTTATAATGCTCTACAGCTAATCGCTTAGTTTGGCACTGAGTCAGGGTGTAAGTGTATACGTTGCTTGAAGTTCTGTAAGCCCCTACGCTTCAACAAAACAGCCTGTCTACTTGGAACCTGAATAGTTCAGTGCAGCTGAGTGAATAATTGACCCTTCCATTCACTGGCTGAATCAAAGGGGGGAGAAAATCAGTTTATTTTGAACTGAAATTGATTTTTATTTATTTAGGCTTTTCCCACTGAAATGAAAAAGTTCCATTCTGGTCAAATGAAATGTTTCCATATTGTTTTGAAAAAATATTTTTCACAATTTTTTCCCTCATTTTTTTGTCTGAAACTATTTGCTGAATTTGACCCAAATTTGCAAATAGTTTCCCCCACCACAAAACCTGCATTTTATCAGAGAATTTACTTTTCAGCTGAAAAATTTTGCCCAGCTCTTGTTACGAATTACACCTGGTAGGACACGCACAGTTCGAATCTAGGCTGAGGCACAGAAATAAAGTCCACAACTGCAGAGTTCCCAAAAGACACTAAGTTTATTACGCTCGAGCGTGGTGCCCCCCTGCTAGCCAGGAGGGGACCCTGAATGCAGATTATACAAAGGTTATATACCTTTTAGCAAAGCATGTTGCCCTCATGCATCGGAAACCTTAGCCAATAAACAAACCCTTGTCTTATCTACCACCTATCCCTGCTTGGTGCATTCCTCGTGCTATACCAGTATGTTAATTACACAGCATGGTCCTAAAGCCATGCATCAGTAACTTTTATTATCAGAATGGGAGGCCTCACATCAAGGCCAAGAGACAGGGAGTTAGAGACTGACAAAAACCAGATACTGGGAGTCAAGGCAGGCTAGAGACAAGGAGGAGGATTTTCACAGGGATTCAGTATCTAAGGATCACTCCTCCTGGTGTATGATGTGCTGGCATTTAAATAATGGTGGGCCCCAAACCAAAATGGAGTCACATGTGCTAACTTTTCCTTAACACTCTACAGTTTGGTACTGTTAAAGCATGTTCTCAAAATGACATCCAAAATGTGACTTAACTTCTTGTGTTTTATCAATATCCATTAAAGTATTGGGGTATTTTGTTTTTGTTTGTTAAAAACAGCTTCCATGTGTACATCAATGTATTTCACTTATTAGTAACCCAGCTGTAATAGGGTAACGTGTGTAGCTGTACACAATGGGGGGGGGGGAAGTGGTTAAATGAATAGATTTCAGACTTTCAAGAGTGGATGGTCCAGTGGTTAGGGTGGTAACCTAGGACCTGGGAGCCAGGGTTCAACTCCCTGCTCTGTCACAGACTTCCTCAGTGACCTTGGATAAGTCTCTTAGCCTCTCTGTGCCTCAGTTCTCCATCTGTATAGTAGCATTGCTTTACCTCACCAGGAAGCTGATTCTACAGTAATGTGTGTCTTGTAAATTGCTTAGAGAGCTATATAGAACAAGAAGGTTTTAACAATGCCTTGATGGCATCTTTTCAAGAAACAATTAGTTTTATTATGCCTAATTTGGAATGAATCTACTGCTCAGCAAAGCTGAAATCTGTTCTTACTGCAAGGTAGCCAGTGAAACTGTGGATTTGTTGAGATAAAACGATACAATATAAATATAACGAGTCCACTATAATGCTATCTTTCTATCCTTTTTTCAGATGGCCTTAATAAGGAGCAGAATGAAATGATGCTGCACTGTGTGAACATGTGTCTGGAACTTGATAGTCCTCCTTCATTCACTAAGCCAGCAACTGTGTTTATAAAGAAACCCTCATCACCTTTGGTTTCTGATCTCCCTGAGGTACAGGAGGCTCTCCTGAAACTTCTGGGAGATGAGCGTATGGTTCAGCAAAACATCCAACTGCCACATGGTTACAACATTGGTATGGGACCAATTCATTGTCATGTGCCTTTGTATATTGATTTATAGTGGTAAAGAAATGGACTGGCAACTATTACATATAATATAAGGGGTGTAAAATATAAATTTCTGGTGAGAAGGTCTATTTGACAACTATGCCTTTATGGTTGTATTTTCTATGACATTCACGTTAAAATAGTTGGACAGTTGACTAAAATATTGTTACTGCTCTGGTTTGTAAAATTGCGGTGGGCTTTTTGTGGTTAAAATCTGGCTTTTGATGCAACTAATCCTACATAAACCCAATAGGCAATAACTATATTAAACAACACTGACCTTTCAATGCTAACATATTTTTTTAATCTTTGGATTAAAGAAACAATATAAAATGGCAAAATATGAAACTTCAATGTGATTGTTTTAGCTGTGGAACAGTTTTCCTTTTTCTTTGATTTAAAGAACAGGATATGAGCTTCATTGAGAAACCATTTATAAATTTAGTAAAGTTCCATGGTGTATGGTTTCTTTTGTATGCAGGGTTTATACTTCTATGATTATATCATTTGCAAAGTACTCTCATTACCTGATTCACTTATTATACTTCTGGTATTTTTATTCCTAAATTTATCAATCCTAGTGATAAAAGACAAGGGACTATGTATGGATCTGTGAAACCTCAGACAGCAATTTTTTTCTTTAAATCCTGAATCGATACACCTATTCATACTGTATCTATGATTTGTGATAACAGGTACCTTTTCTGACTGTGTCAAAGCGCCAGCTGAATCTATTTGTTGCTCTCGAAGGAACAGCAATATATTGTGCAAACTGTCACACAAATGCAATAATTATAGCTGTTTCTTTTCTATTGACTCCATAAAATATATTGGAATGGTCAAAGCCTCTTGTGGCATTTAATATTCTACTGCTTTGCTTTCAGATTTTGAAATCAAAATGGATGCAGACAGAAAAAAAGTGCTTCCAGTAACTGAAGTAGATGATCCTGCTGATGTTCCAAATGTTCAACGGTACCTTTATTTGGTTACAAGTTTTCTTTACCAGGCCCTTTTTATGTGAGGCTCCTCCTGTGCCTCTCTGGCTCATTGATCTGCAAAGCAAGTAATTCACTTTCTCTATGCTCTCACAAGAGTATAAGAATTGCCACACTGGATCAGACCTGGGCCTCATCCAGTATCCTGCCTCCAACTGGGGCCAGCACTGGATGTTTTGGAGGCAGGTGCAAGAAACTCCACAGTGGGTAGCTGTGGGATAATCTGCCCTCATAAAGGTCTCCTAGGTTATTAGGCCAGAAGGGGGGGATCACTTTGATCATGTAGTCTGACATCCTGCCTAACACAGGTCATAGAACTTCCCTAAATTAACTCCTGTTTGAACTAAAGCATGTCTCTTAGAAAAACATCCAGTCTTGATTTAAAAATTGCCAGTGATGGAGAATCCACCACGACTCTTGATAAATTGTTCCAATGGTTAATTACCCTCACTGTTAAAACATTACACATTATTTCCAGTCTGAATTTGTCTAGCTTCAACTTCCAGCCATTGGATCTTGTTATACCTTCGTCCACTAGATTGAAGAGTCCCCTTTCCCCCCCGCAATTATCAAATTTCTGTTCCCCATATGTAGGTACTTATAGCCTGTGATCAAGTCACCCCTTAACCCTCTCTATGTTAAACTGAACAGATTGAAGTATTTTAATCTGTCGCTATAAGATGTGTTTTCCAATCCTTAATCATTCCCATGTCTCTGAACCCTCTCCAATTTATCAACATCATTTTTAAATTGTGGACACTGAAACAGGGCCTCCTCCCCTAATAATTAGAGTTTGGTATAAATCCTGAAACATGAGATTTTGATTCCCTTCCAAAAAAACTTTTGCATTAACTACAACTGAATATTCTTGTTATCTATATAAATGTTGAATCCCTCTGTGACACTTACTAAAGTTGACTTCAACAGGATCCTGTGGCAATGAGTTCCAGTCTAATTATGCGTTGAGTGAAAAATTATATCTCTATTCCGTGTTAGAATGGAGAGACCAATTCAACTGTATGCTAAGGAATGTTCTCTTTTTTTAGTAAATGAGATATGTCTAAATCCAGTGACCCAATTTTTGGACCATGTTACAAACTAGGAAACCTAAATTGTGACTTTGAGACCACAATACTGCAGATTTTGTATCTTTAACAATAACGTATCCCTTGTTGACCAAATTCAGCAAAAGGCCTGTGCACCACTGAAGTCAGATTCTGAGGGTTTAGATGGGATCTAAGTGATGCATGGGCTTGCGCAGATGAATTGCTATCTGTCTGTCGGGGAAAAAAGGAACTAGTTACTCTGTACCAATACTGCTTGTCAGGCTACCAAATCACTGGACTTTTCTGAACCTTCCAAGCAGGTTAGAGATTTGCACAGTAGATAATGGAAGAAAGAAGGAAATAAATGTTACATGCGTAAGAACATAGGAACAGCCATACAGGGTCAGACCAATGGTCCATCTATCCCAGTATCCTGTCTTCCAACAGTAGCCAATGCCAGATGCTTCATAGGGAATGAACAGAACGGGGCAGTTATCGAGTGATCCATCCCTGTCCTCCAGAATCTGGCAGTCAAAAGTTTCGGGACACCCAGAGCATGGGATTGCATCTCTGATGCAATCCCATATTTTGGATGCTTCTGTTTCACATAATGCACCATTCTGAACTTCTCCAGCCTTAGTTGCAGAATGATTTGAGGCCTAAGAATTCAATCTTTGACATACATACTGTATGGGCAGACCTCGGCACCTAGCTAAAACACATTGCAGGAGAGGGGGGTTTAAGTTGCTTAAGTCCGGAGAAGCAAAAGAATAATTAAATTAGGAGTGGACAAAAATATTAGCAATAAACTAACACAGCAGTGCTATTCCTTAATATTAAAGGCATTCTCTGAACGGTTAACTGTGAAGAATACTTAAATTGCACCAACATAATGCTGTTTGCCAGCTCCCTAAGAAATTGTTACTGTTTTTGGCTTTAGAGTGGCTGTTCTCTGTGCTCCTCCATCTGCTTTCTGTTTTGGCACAAGACACCCCCGAGGCAAGCTGGCAATGAAGATGAGGCATCTGAAAGCACTGGGCTATCATGTGATACTGGTAAGAAGTCTAAATGCAAATCTTACCAGTATGATGACATATATGATGTGTATGATAGGTGAAGAACAGAGTACTTGGAGTGGTAAGCTTAACCTAAATTGACACTGCTGGAAAAACTCCTTGATCAGTGATGGTATGCTGTGGTGTTGGGCAAAGGAACTCCACTATGGTAAACTATGTCCAGGTGGAGTTTGATCCTTTTTTGTCATGAACTACACCAGGGGTCGGCAACCTTTCAGAAGTGGTGTGCCGAGTCTTCATTTATTCACTCTAATTTAAGGTTTCGCGTGCCAGTAATACATTTTAACGTTTTTAGAAGGTCTCTTTCTATGTCTATAATATATAACTAAACTATTGTTGTATGTAAAGTAAATAAGGCTTTTAAAATGTTTAAGAAGCTTCATTTAAAATTAAATTAAAATGCAGAGCCCCCCCGGACCAGTGGCCAGGACCCAGGCAGTGTGAATGCCACTGAAAATCAGCTCATGTGCCATAGGTTGCCTACCCCTGAACTACACCATAATTCGCCAAAAGCTAAAACTGAGTTGCTGAATTCCAGTACCTAAGAACCTTGCATGAATTTGATCAGATATTGACTCATTCACCTGTTTTCATGTGGAATTGCAGATCTGAACTGATCACTTTCTGGAATGCAGGGATTCTCTACATCTGTTTCCTTTCATTAAGTGCGTTGGTTCACAAGAGAATGTGAGTTTGTTATTTAGCAGCGGAACTAATGCACCCTTTCCCTTCTTCTCCTGTCCACTAAGGTCCACTACCAGGAGTTTAAAAAACTGAAGAAAGAAGAAGCAATTGAGTGTTTGAAGGGAGAAATCTATTCAGCAAATGCTTTTCCTTTTTCCGATGTGAATTTGCAGGATAATATTTAAAACGGACTGAGAACTTCGGATCTCCTGCTTTTTTCCCATCACAGCCATTCACAAGAAGACGGAAGCAGTTTCATATATTCCTGAAAAATGCCTCAAGACATTATACCTTGTAGAAAGTTTGTAAATTCAACTATATCTACTGAAGGAGTTTTTTAGCAGTAGAAGCAGTTCCTTTCAAACCTGTGTTCCGGAATGCTATAGCTAAGGCTCCTTAAACAATAATTGACTTCATTTAAAAACAAACCAAAAAAAACCTCCTGCATTTAATGTTGAAACTATCTCAAATTTATCTTTTTTTTAAACTACATCTAGGCTACTCCAGTGGGCCAAACTGTTCATTTGTTCTTGAACTGGGGGAGTGTGACAGTCTTTCAGAGCAGTTGGGACCATGGCTGCTCTCACTGTAGTGAGAATGGGATAACGAGTCAATCTGTCTTTAGCTTTCAGTAAGAACTCCAGCCAGAAAAGCAGTAAATCATTAGATATTGACTGGAGTGGAAATAAAAACGCCCAAATCTCTTGATAAGTTTGTAACTCAGAAAATAACTTTCTAGTCTCGTTTTCAGAAGTCTGGGACAGCAAATGATTCTTTATTCTCCATGCTTTTTCTTCAGTCTGAAGCCTTTCCGCCTGTTATAAAGCACTCTGAGAGTCATCGCTATAAGATCCTGTCCCTCGTATAAATTGCCTTGTGATGTCTTCTTTTGTTTCAGTATTAGCTCTTCCAAGACTACTTACAGCTATTGCACAGCACTTACGAAGGAGAGCTGCAGAAAGGGATCGGGGGGTCATAGTGGACCACAAGCTAAAGGAGTCAACAGTGTAATGCTGTTGCAAAAAAAAGCAAATATCCTTCTGGGATGTATTAGCAGGAGTGTTGTAAGCAAGACGCAAGAAGTAATTCTTCCGCTCAACTCTGCACTGATTAGGCCTCAACTGGAGTATTGTGTCCAGTTCTGGGCACCACATTTCACGAAGGATATGGACAGATTGGAGAGAGAGTAGAGAAGAGCAACAAAAATGATTTAAAGGTCTAGAAAACGTGACCTGTGAGGGAAGATTGAAAAAATTGGGTTTAGTCTGGAAAAGAGAAGACTGAGAGGGGACATAACAGTTTTCAAATATGTAAAAGGTTGTTGCGAGGAGGAAGAAAAATTGTTTTTCTTAACCTCTGAGAATAGGACAAGAGGCAATGGACTTAAATTGCGGCAAGGGAGGTTTAGGTTGGACATTAGGAAAAAGTTTCCAACTGTCAGGGCAGTTTAAGCACTGGAATAAATTGCGTAGGGATGTTGTGGAATCTCCATCTTTGGAGATTTTTAAGAGCAGGTTAGACAGACACTTGTCAGGATGGTCTAGAGAATATATAGTCCTGCTGCGAGTGCAGGGGACTGGACTGGATGACTTCTCAAGGTCCCTTCCAGTTCTATGATTCTATGATGCAACACAACATCCACTGGCCCACCACGTAGTAGAGGATAAATCAGAATAATGGTGGTATTGCCTACTGATATAAATGTGAAGTTTAAAGAATGCTCTAATTTGAAGGAGTGGAAGAGGCAGACATAGCTCTTCCATCCTGTTCTTGAAAATACTCATTAGTACTTGCTTTCAAGAGTCAGTCAATGAAACACTTGCATTTTTTTGTCAAGTTATTTTTTTGTTTTAATGAAGTGCAATTTTGAATAGGGGTATTTTGAACATTTACTTAGTAACAGCACTGAAACTTGTGGTCTTCATAGAATATCAGGGTTGGAAGGGACCTCAGGAGGTCATCTCGTCCAACCCCTTGCTCAAAGCAGGACCAATACCCAGTTTTTGCCCCAGATCCTGAAATGCCCCCTCAAGGATTGAACTCACAACCCTGGGTTTAGCAGGCCAATGCTCAAACCACTGAGCTATCCCCCCGCCCCTTACAAATCTGTTACCCATTTCTGCATTATGGTCAGTCCTGTGATAATGATATTGTTCAACCAGAACAAGTAAATATATGTTAGAGCCTTTGGCAGTAACCTTATTCAACCAAATGGCGGTGCTCTTGCTTCGCATCATGGTGAGCTGTGAACTGCACACTTCTTTGTCTCTGTATTCGGCTGAGGATTTGGCTGAAGCTTTGCAGTGATGTGGTAAAAGAATTAAGGTGAAAAGAAGAAATGAGGCATTATTTTAATTTGCTGCCGTACCCTTCACGGAGTAGGTCAGCTGAATATGATATATGTTTGTGGAGAGAACTTGCTAGTAAAGATATGTACAGAGTTATGACTGGTAACATACCACAAGAAGAGCTGTCTTTGCTGGTTTTCAGACTGGCTGAAACCCTGAAGCATGGAAATTCTGCCAGAAAGCCTGAACTTGTGAGATTTAAAACTGGATTTTCAGACCAAAGCGATTTGCTTGTTGATGGGATTTTCCTTTTTCTGGATCAGATGCACCAAGAAATACTGATTATCTGAATGAACCTTTCCTTTTCTTCTAGCCAAGATGGCATGCAAGCGATTTTCTTTTCTGTCAACGCTACGTTAAAGGTGTAGAGTACTCATGACCACTGCACTGAATGAGTGACCACTGGAAAAAACAGTAGTGGGTGGAACCAATGACCCACCTCATTACACTAGTTATAATGTAATAGGCCCGAATAGAAGGCATATTTCATGCCATATGCAACGTGATAGTACCTTGCTCCTGCTGTATCACTAGCTGTTTGTATTATGCTTGCATCTTATAAATACAGTGCTATAAACACTCAGCTATAGAATAGTTATGAAAGATATTTGTTCCCACTGAGGACTTTGGTCTTTCTTCGGATTTTCTGAGTCTTTTACCCTATTCTTTCCCTCCTACTGTGGATTCCGCTTGTTAGCAACCTCTCAGATCCCAGCAAAAAGTTGCTATTATCTAAAGGTTGCCAGTAAGCAGAAAGTTAGTCTATAGGGGTGCAGCTAGGGAATGAAGCACTGGGACATGCGTGGTACCTTTCCCTGCCTGCCCGCAAACCTGCCTACAGCTGGGAGGGGCAGCTACATGCAGAGTAGCAGGGGGGATGCAGCCCAGATGCTGGGGCTTTCCTTGGGGTTGCGGGGCTGCACAGTACAGGAGCCTGGGCTTGGCACATCCCAGTTCTTCCTCCCCTGGCTGCAGCTCCGCAAACCTCCCTGCTGCTGCCCTGCCTGCAACCTCCCCTCCCAGCCACAGGTAGGGCTGCAGACAGGAGGCACATCAAAAAGTTGTCAATTAGCAGTATGCCTGTTGCCAATATCCAAATCCTATTAACATTAAAGTCAGTGGGGTGGGATTAGAAAATGTTGCTACCCACAGGAAGTTGATAATATCAGGATTCCTATTAAGTGGCACCCACTGTGTTTGCCTCCTAGCATTTCCCTCTAGCTTGAGTATGAATATCATTCATTGTACAGTTGCGACCATGCCATGGCATCTAAAATGCCACAAGATTTTCAGGTGTCAATCATCGAAGGCCAAATTCCATTTTTAGGCATGATTCCTGGGCCAGAGTATATATTTTGGATAACATGCTCCCACTGATGTCAATGGAAAATTTTTACATAGATCAAGTATAGAATTTGACAGTAACTCAACTTATTAGTTACTATTCTTTATTAAGTACTTTGTTTTTCCATTCAGTATTGCTCATGGGGAAAGCATATGGCACCCTCATGGGACCACCACCCACTTTTCCTTTTCACTTTCATTTCTCTTTCTGTCCCTCTTCCTTTTCATTCTCTCCTCCTTTCTTCCCTCTGCATTTCTTTCCTCACAGCAATTCCTAATTTCTCAGTATCCTTGGTTTTTCTCCCACCCATTCCATCTATTAAATGATCAGCAATAAAGAAAGTTAATGTTGACCCTAAAGGGTTTGTTTTAGTTCTCACTCGAGTGAGATTAATAGGGGACAGAGGAGTTCACACCTCTCTGAGCCATTGTTTCAGGCTGGCTGCAGACTCAGGAAGGCAGCCTTGTGTCCATTTACCCTTGGTTCACGTTTGGAAGGTTTTCTTTCTAGTGATAGTTAGAAACTTCTTTCTGAAATGAAAGCTGAGATTTTGCACAAAGTGAATGTCATGCAAGCTGTGAAGTGATAAATAGTACCCTTTTCATTGGCGCTGTTATAGCAGTTCTGGATCTATCCCACTTGAGATGTAACTTTCTTTTCAAAGAAGAGAGCAGAATATTCTTGTTAGAGCTGACATAGATTTTGTCAGATCCATGAAGGGGGCAACATGTTTTATTCCCTGGGCCACAAGGAAATCTGAATAGAGGACCCATGTAACATTCTGTTCCCCCATTATGAATTTGTGAAGTATTAAGTAGGGGTTTGTCTACACAGGGAACCTATTGCAAAATAAGCTAGGGAGTGAATTTAAAGTGCAATAGATATTTCAAATTAAGAATGCCTTTGTGCGGTTTCATAGAAGTGGAGTAAGCTAAACCCACATCCCCTAAGGGCGTGGCTATACTTGCAAGTTAGAGCACATTAAAGCAGCCCTGGGCCCCCTAACTCCTGAGGTGTCCACACTGGTAAGGCACATAGAGCATCTGGACTCTGCAGCTGGAGCGCTCCTGGTAATCCACCTCCATGCTGCACCCCGGCTGAAACATCCAGGCATCAGTGTGGACGAGGCGTTGCATTACTGCGCTGTGATTGGCCTCCGAAAACGTCCCATAATCCCCTGAAGTCAAGTGGTTACTCTTGTCGTTGTTTTGAAATCGGCTGCGGGCATGTGGATATCCCCTTTCAAAGCTCCGTTTCTGGCAGCCAGCATGCTTCTCTGCTCTGGGACAAAGCAAACCATTAGTGTGAAATGCTGCTGTTGTGAGTGTGTGTGTGTGGGGGGGGTGTCTCCTGTCTGAACTTACAAGACAGCATGCTGACGCACTCTCCCCTCCTCCCCCACATACACTCCCTGTCACACACTCCCCCGGCCCCCCATGTGAAAAGCATGCTGCAGCCACTTGCACACTGGGGAAGCTACCACAATGCACTGCTCTCTGTGGCGTTGCAAGAGCTGCTAAGGTGGCCATGCCAGTGCGCTTCCAGCTGATAGCGTAAACACACGGCAGCGTTTTCCCTGCTGCGGTCTCCAAAGGCTGGTTTAACTCCCAGTGCTCTACATCTGCAAGTGTAACCAAGCCCTAAAAGTGCCTATGTCTACACTTAAAACACTACAGCTGCAGTGCTTCAGTGTAGACACTCCCTACAATGACAGAAGGGGTTCTCCCAGAGCTGTCTACACTGGGGGTTAGGTTGGCATAGCTACATCTTAGGGGTGTGACAAAGCCACACCCCTAAGAGACCTAGCTATGCTGACGTAAGTTCCCAGTGTTAAATGTGGGTTAAGCATTCACATGGGGAGCTATTGCGGAATAGCTATTCCAGGCTATGTCCCGTAGCAGGCAAAGCATTAGACACTAGTCCCATTGAATTTAACTGCCCCTTTCACATGAGAAACAAAAACTCTCATGGAAAAGGGTGGCAGGATCAGGTCCCTTTTGTGCATAATCTTTGATATAAACTGCTAAAAAGGTTTTGACTTAAATAATATAATAAAGTTCAGTGATCGAAAGCACAGACAAAGTAATAACTGGCACTAGGATATGCAAGCCAGGTGAGGTCTAAAAGTGGGCAGAGAGGCAATGAAGCAAGCCAGAAATGAGAAGACATGCCGCAAAGGAGAAGGCTCTTGCAACAGGTGGCTGGTGTGAAGGAATGGGGCCAGTACCAGATGAGCAGAAGGAGTGAGGTAGCGTGGAAGGGTTGAAAATAGAAATTAAATAAGTGGATCCTAGAATGAGGGTACAAAAACATGTTTCTGGGGGAGTGATGTGGTTATGGATCTGTGTAAAGGGGCTGTACGCGAGATTCCTGCATGTGCTGGAGTCTAGAGAATTAGGACTTGGCAATTGCAAAAGAGAAGGGAACTGTAGTAGCCAAGAGTGCTACAAAGACTGACCTGACTTTTCCCTAGTCTGAGTTCTGTTCCCAGGCTACTTTAATTGGTATTGTTTTAGATTATTATTTATTAATGCTAAACTGTTCTCATCTCTCCAAGCAAATTGCAGAGCAAATAACCTTGCTTGAATAAGATATCAAGTTTACTTCTTATTTCTTGGCAATGGAAGATCAGCATTTGAGAAGAATTTACAGATGTTTTGTAAGTATCAACAACAGCAGAGGCAAAATGTGCAGCATTTCATATGACGAATTATTAAGTTATGTCTGGAGACAGTAAAATACTGATGTTGAACATGTGATGTTTGAACATTCTTCTTTTGCCAGTAATCAGCCTGGTCCTTGTTTAGAGCATTCCATGTTTATAGAGTGAAAAAAAGAATGGTCTCCCAACCCCCCAAATTTTATTTTTTGTAGTTTATACTAATGCAAGGCTTTAGATCAGTTTAAGCTACTTTAAGGCCCTAAGTGGATTTAAAGTGCAAAAATAAAATTCCCCAAAACACAATTTGTGGGGAAAACATGAAGGGATCTGGCAGGCTGAGCAGAGGTGTATGTTAAGAAGCAGCTGTCAGGCACCTCTTTCTGTGGATAGAAAATCCAATGGAGCAACACTGGTTGTGAATCAATAACAAACTCGTTAAGAAAGCATTTTAGCATTCCCTCCAAATTCAAACACTTACAGTAGTAATTTTGCTCAGAGTATAACTCTGTGGCTATGTCCAGACTGCACACCACTGTAGGCGGTGTGTAAGGTGTGTGTAGCCACATGCCACAGTGAAAAGCAGGCTGTGTCCATTGTAGGACACCGCTGTGTAGTGTAGCTACACATGTCAGAGAGGTGGCAGGCGGGAAAAGCTCAGGCAGCTCCCTGTGGCAGGGAAAGGCTTGGCCAGCAAGGGAGCTATTAGAGCCTTTATCCACTGCTGGGAGCTTCCCTGCGGTGGGGAAAGACTCTGGCAGCAGGGGGGCAGTTGGGCCCTACGCTGATAAAAACAGCAGTGTAGACAGAGGAGGCACTGCTTGAGTGCATGGAGAGTCATGTCGGGTACATACTTACAGGATCCAGGCGTATCTTTACTCACCTAAGTGCCTCTGCTGATTATACCCGTACTAGGAGAGAATGCAGGGTATGCCATCTACATGCTTCCATAAGGAATGCGCAGTGTAAACATGCCTTGTGTTTCCATTTTTTTGCTAACAGCTATAAAAGCACCAGGACAGCTATGTTGTCCTACCTTTGAGTGCTGCAGTGATAGTTGATATTTGAGCCAGGTGTTCAAGATCTGTCATTTCAGGAACAACAATTTAATCCTTAGTGCTCTGATCCCTTTTACATCTTCATACTCAAGTCTTCAAGGTGGGTGTAAAAGGCTACCCTTCTGCACCTACTTTGCAGAGGTGTAAAAAAGCACCCAGTGGGCAAGGCAGTAGCAAATTGGTTCCAGCGTGTTTGCAGCAGGCATTTATATAAAGTCCCCCTTTTTCCAGGTAGCACATAGGCTGTCATTCTACTTTGCTCCACCTTTATGAGAACACTCCCATACAATGCTACAGTGGCATGATTACCATAGCACCCATCAAGTGCCAGATTTGCTCTAGCCTTGTCTTGTGAGATGCAAATTCCAATAACTAGGATAATTTTCTTTCATTTGTCACTGTTTAAGGTATTGGATTCTACTGATGCCTTTGGACAAAGAGATAGTAGTCAGTAAATTTGTTCAATTTACCTTTTGCCACATGCCATATGCCACATCTTAGTCTCCTCAATCCATGCAGCCAGCAAAGTGTGCTTGTTAAGATTTCTGTATTTATTTTGGTTTGGTTTGATTGCACAGATCATCTTGTACATAGCTTCATCTGAATTATGCCTCATGTTAAACTAGGGACCATATGCTCAGCTGATGTAAATTAAAGTCAGTGGAGCTACACCAATTTATCCCAGCTGAGGCTCTGGTACTGAGTCTTCAAAGAAGAAAACTTTTGGATTGTTACGCAAACACCATTTTCTCTTTCTTCAGCAGTAATGGCTATTGGGCCTGATTCTGATCTCAAGGAAACTGAGGTAAATCCGCCGCACTCCCAGCACTGGTAGCTATTCCTCTCACAGAGGTGGTTTTATTATAGCGCCAGGAGAGCTCTCTCCCACCGCAGGAGCTGCGACTACACAGCCACGTTAACCGCGTTTAACGTTAACCACATTTAACATTGGCTGTGTAGACTTACCCGTAGTTAGAATGTGTTTAGTCTCATTCAGCTGCAGTGTCACATGGATGATATAGGTGCTGGATGTTATGTAAAGTACCAAGAAAGAGAGAGCACTTGGGATTTGCTCTGTAATGTTCTGTACCCAAAACAAAGTAAAAAATGGCAGATGCCTCAGTGCTGTTGGCAAACAGACTCCCTTTCAGCATAGGTACAGTCTTTCCACTGTGTGGCTACATTATACCATAATGGATATCCCAAAATGGTTGTCGTATGATTCGCAAAGCTTGGTCCCTGTGATGGGGTCTACAGCAGGGGTTCTCAAACTGGGGGTTGGGACCCCTCAGAGGGTCATGAGGTTATTACAGGGGGGGCTACACCCCAACCCCACTTTGCATCCCACATTTATAATGGTGTTAAATATATAAAAAAGTGTTTTTAATTTGTAAGGGGGGAAACACTGAGAGGCTTGCTGTGTGAAAGGGGTCACCACAAAAGTCAGTACAAAAGTTTGAGAACCACTGGTCTACAGGTTCCACACAACCAGTGCTGGGAGTAGAATACTGGGCTACGGAGGCCCTGCCCCTCAACAGGAACAGGGCACATTCCCTGTGGAGAAACAGTTTAAGAGGACACTGGTAGCCCAGGAAAAGAGCTGCATGCAGCATCAGGGAGTGTGGCTCATGCCAAGAGCTGTGCCTGAGGTTGCAACAGCTTTGTAAGAGCTGCTCTAGCAGCAGTGACTTAGATTTCCCTGATCCACTCTTTGGGAGTTGAAAGCCCTAAAAGAGATTGACTGAACAAGGCACTAAAAAACAGAAGACAGTCTGCTAAGCCAGCAACCATGCCCTAAACTGAGGCACTTGGACTGGCAGGAAGTGATCTAGGAGAAAACATAATTTGGGGTAGCTCAATAACTGGGCTAGATACTTCATAAACCTCTCTCTCTGGTAATGGGTTGGGATCTGGTGGAGTAGGTGGGCCAGGTCCCCCTACCTTGCTCCTCTGTAGTGACAGAACCTCTGGGGGAGCAGCTGGAGCACAAGGGGGTGACTGAGGCCATAGCCAGGCCCTCTCTGGGATGACTAGTCCAGCAGAAACCATAAGGCCACGACCTACCTCTAGACAAGCTGGTCATTGGACCTTCCCACAGCAATCCCTGAAGCTTCAGGGTAAAGAGCGATCGCTTCAGCTTCAGTTGGAGGGAGGAAAAGTGACAGGTTAAATATAAAAGTACCAAAAATAGTAAAACTTTCTCAATTCCTAGCTTGGCCACAGGCTGTGCGTGACCTTGGGCAAGTCAGTTAGGGCCAGATTTTTAAAGCCATTTATGCACCTAACTCCCAACTGTGCCCCAGTTACCATCTGTACAGTGGAGATAATAGAACCTCTTTTCTCCCACCCTTTGTCTTCCTTCTCTGTTTGGATTGTAAGCTCTTCAGGCAACGGCTGTCTCTGACTTACTACATGTTTGTGCAGCTCACCAGGAGCTGAGATCCTGGCTGGCATGCCAAGGCGTGACAGCTTTATAAATAATACTTACTAGTAATACACTCCCCCACTGCCATGCCAATCACAGCTGTGCCTGCCTGGGTGGTGGAGGAAAGGTTTTGGCTAATTACTAGAAAAGGGCTCTAATTATCCACCCCCAACCACAAGCAAAATCAACAGGCCTGAACGGAGGTAAAGCCAGACTAACTAAGATACTGTTGATAAAGCTTTTCAACCCAGCCAATGCCCTCAGCACTATTTCTCCAGCTATTAACAGCAATGAAGGTTTACAAAATCACAGGCTAAAAAAATTAGCTGTTTCTAACACACTTAAACCCATACACGCATACTACAGATATTTAAAACATGCCTAGTTAAAGCGTTAAGGGCCTGATTCCAAAACCCACCAAAATCTCCTATTAATTTCAATGATGCAGGAATGGGCCCTTATTCAGCTAATCCCTAAAAGCCTCAATTAAGAACATAAGAACGGCCATACTGGGTGAGACCAATGGTCCATCTAGCCCAGTATCCTGTCTTCCGACAGTGGCCAATGCCAGGTGCCCCAGAGGGAATGAACAGAACAGATAATCATCAAGTGAGCCATCCCCTGTTGCTTATTCCCAGCTTCTGGCAAACAGAGGCTAGGGACACCATTCCTGCCCATTCTGGCTAATAGCCATTGATGGACTTATTCTGCATTAATTTATCTAGTTCTTTTTTGAACCCTGTTATAGTCTTGGCCTTCACAACATCCTCTGCCAAGGAGTTCCACAGGTTGACTGTGCATTGTGTGAAAAAAATATTTCCTGTTGTTTGTTTTAAACCTGCTGCCTATTAATTTCATTTGGTGACCCCTAGTTCTTGTGTTATGAGAAGTAGTAAACAACATGTCCTTATTAACTTTCTCCACACCAGTCATGATTTTATAGACCTCAATCACATCCCCCCCTTAATCATCTCTTTTCCAAGCTGAAAAGTCCCAGTCTTATTAATCTCTCCTCATATGGAAGCTGTTCCATATCCTTAACCATTTTTATTGCCTTCTGTGTCCCTTTTTCAATTCAAATATATCTCTTTTTGAGATGGGGCAACCAGAACTGCATGCAGTGTTCAAGGTGTGGATGTATCATGGATTTATATAGTGGCATTATGATATTTTCAGTCTTATTATCTATCTATCCCTTTCCTAATGGTTCCTAATATTCTGTTAGCTTTTTTGACAGCTACTGCACATTGAGCAGCTGTTTTCAGAGAACTATCCACAATGATGCCAAGATCTCTTTCTTGAGAGAGAACAACTAATTGTATGAGTAGTTGGGATTATGTTTTCCAGTGTGCATTATTTTGCATAAATCAACATTGAATTTCCTCTGCCCTTTTGTTGCTCAGTCACCCCATTTTGTGAGATCCCTTTGTAATTCTTCACAGTCAGTTTTGGACTTAAAAAGAAAAGGAGTACTTGTGGCACCTTAGAAACTAACCAATTTATTTGAGCATAAGCTTTGGACTTAACTATCTTGAGTAATTTTGTATCGTCTGCAAATGTTGCCACCTCCCTGTTTACCCCTTTTCCAGATCATTTATGAATATGATGAACAGCA